CCATTTTAATTTGCTAATGTCTTCGAGGATGTCGTGGACACCAGTCTGCTTTAGTATCCACTGCGTTGTCTTTTTGTCCCTCTAAGTGATATTGAGCATAATTAATTCTTTTGTGAGCTCGTTGCATTGTTCTTAATTTGCAGCTGAGCTTTTTTGTCAGGTTTCATGTCTCTGAACCGTATGTGACTGTTGGTAGTATGCATGCCATCGGTTTCAGACTTTCCTTTTCAGAACCAAGGCGATGTTGGACTTGAAGATGGAGCTAGCTCAGCCGAAGGCCTGCCACCCCAGTTTGATTCTGCGCTTAATCCCTTCTTCTTTCGATGGTGTTACTGAGATGCGTTGACCTAAGTAGATGTAGAGGTCGACCTGCTGGATGGTCTCGTTCTCAACTTTAATCTCAATATCTTCGTCTAGTTTTTCGTTTATCATGACTTGGGTTTTCTTGAAGTTCATGTGGAGGCCGACTGTTTTGCTTGCGTCATTGAGCTCGATGATAATTTCTTGTGATTCTTCCAGGCTGTTAGCAATAAGCAGGATATCGTCAGCCAATCTCAAGTGGCTCAGGTATTCCGCGTCTATCTTGATTCCTCTTGCTTCCCAGTCCAGGTTGCGAAAAACTGATTCAAAGCATGCTGTGAAGAGCTTTGGTGAGATACGGTATCACCTTGGCAGACTCCCTTCTCTAGTTGGAAGGGTTCGGAGTCTTTGTGTAATCGTATAAAGGACCTGCAGTTGTTGTAGATATGCTGGAGGGTGTTGATGTAGACTGGGTTGATTCCCTGTTGTTTGAGGGCTGTGGTGACTGGTGCATTTTCTACAGAATCATAGGCCTTCTTGTAGTCAAGAAAGGCAAGTGCATGGGGTATATTGTATTCTGCGGCTTTCTCAACGAGTTGGTTTAATGTTTGTAGGAGATCGATAGTTGAGTAGCCTTTCCTGAAGCTTGCTTGTTCTCGGGGTTGATTTTCGTCCAGGGTTCTGCTGACTCTATCGGTGATGACTCGTGTGACGATCTTGTAGACACAAGTTAGAAGGCTGATAGCTCTGTAGTTCGCAAGATCTTTTTTGCAGAGCAGGATTATGATTGCGTCATTCCACTCATTTGGGATTCTCCTTTGTTTTAGACAGGTTGTAAAGAGGTTGGCTAGTCTCTATACTATCACATGGTAAATGGCAAACTGCCAACTGTTAACTCCCAAGAACAGAAACCGCACGTGGCTTCCGGGCAAAATGAGTTAGCTATGGCCCTTGAAGAATGCTGTAGATTTCTGCAAAACTTTTAGTACTCAGCTTGACTTCATACATACGTTGCCAGAGGTCACGAATTAACATAAAATAATGTTCTAGGAAAATCAAAGTTCCACATAGGAATTATTCTAAGAAGCCAGGGTCACCAAAACACATTTAAACATACATATGAAGTGCGAACAAACCATTTAAATGTCACAATTTTAATACAATTAATGTGCAAACAAACCAGTTTAGTATTGTGATTAACACAATTATTAGTGATTGTGGTGATTGAAAGCAGTGTGATGAACTTGGGTAGCACAGTGGCAGGGACAGTGCCAGGGGCAATTTATAGCGCATCAATTAAGGTACGGTACTCAACAGTAAATGAATCGGTAGTGGTAAAATTAATTGATCAGCAAAATTATAAAGAAAGAATGCAAATTGGATCAACACTAATAGGGGAATGCCTGCACCACGTAATGCTAAAATGAAGGTACCTGTTTCTTCGACATTGAGCTCATGACCTTGCAGTATGAATCGTCGGACCTCTGCGATGCACCCATCCAAACAAGCCGGCCCCAGTCCATAGTAACGCATTGCTACTCACTGCAACTGAGTGTTAGGTCAACATTGGGTCAGTATATACGCTGATTTTCTTGAACCCTGATTTAGCGCGATCCCGCTTTTTTCGCGGTGACATTTTATGGACCTCAACGATCGCGTTATAACGGGGCTACACTGTAATACAAAGGTTACCAAAGCCTAAAGAAACAAAAAGAAACGTGACAATACATTGTGAAGGTTTGAATTGGTTAATTAAGAGCATACAGGTCTATAGTATAGAGTATTAGGTGGTCACAGTGCAGCGTGAGAAACTAGCGGTCGCCTAGTCCGAGATTCCTCTGACCAATGCCCAAACCGACGATTTTGGTGGTTTTGGTGTGGGTTAGGTTGTGAGGTTTTGTTGTGTGGTTTTCTAACCCACACCAAAACCACCAAAATCGTCGGTGTGGGCATTGGTCAGAGGAATCTCGGACTAGCGGTCGCCCAGTCGCCAGTGGCGATTAGAAAAT